CGAACCGGCAACCTTCTTGCTGCGAGGCAACAGTGCTACCAACTGCGCCACCCTGCAGCCCCTCATCCAGTCCATGATTGTAAATACAATCATCTTTCTCATTCTTGCTGTGTTGGAAATCTGACCCACATTTAACTTGGACAAATTACCGGCACATTTTTCAGGAAGCTCATCCAGCTTGACCAGCACTCGTCTATATAAATCGTTGTATATGTAATAACACATCAAACATCCGAGTCTTTAGTCTGCTTGAGCTGCATATCTTTGACACCAGGAGCAAACCCTCACAAACAAGTAGAGAATACACTTAGGCCACAATAAAGACTGAGAGCAAAATATTTTTTATGGTGTTCCCACTGCACTCAAACAGTGAAGACAAACAAATAGGCAGACACACAGGCATATTATGGTCTGTATACTTATCAACCCTACTCTCTTCAACATCTGAAACTGTTTTGCACATTCTTGGAAACATGATTCCCAAGAACAACAGGCTTTTCCCATTGTGCCACACTCAGTACCTAATGCCGCAACACAGTGAGATGAAGACAGCATGGAAAGTGCATTTGTGTTGTCCCCTTTCAAAAAGTCACCTCTTGTTTTTAGTAGTTAACTAACTTTGCTTCTCTTCCACTCTGCAAGGGATTGGGAAGTTCATTGCCCTGGACTTTGCACGCCGTGGGGCCCGCGTCATCCTGGCCTGCCGGAGCGAGGTTCGGGGCACAGCAGCGCTAAACGAAATCAGGGAGAAAACAGGAAACTCTGACGTCCATCTACGTCTGGTTGACCTCTCCTCTCTGGAATCTGTCAGAGCATTTGCTAAGAGGATTCTTGAGGAAGAGAAAGCTCTCCACATCCTCGTCAACAATGCAGGAGTATCAGGTGATTTACGCCACAATGGAATCTGCTGCACTGGGCACTTCTGTATTAAGGGAACCACAAATTTAAAACCCAGAGACAGTAATCTCGAATTGCATGAATTACAACAAACAAGATTTGAAGGAACTTTTAACACTCACTATAAATGAAAAAAGTTTTGGCCACTTTATTTTCACGACCTAAAAAAAAATCAGTGAATGATAGAATGATGAAATAACTAGAAACAGAAACCCAGTGACGAGAGCCTTCTGTTCGTAATTTCCCATCTGTCACACATCTGGAAGCAATATCGGATGTAAATCTAAGGTGTAGTCTCCACAGTGGAAAGGCTGGCATACCAACACTTGCTGTTAATTGGATAAGTAAATAAGCATACCGACAGCTTTGTCTGGTAGACTTGGACGGCTCACTGCAGAGCAACAGATGAAATATTTGCATGCTCACAACTGTTCACAGACTGAGGAGGCTTGTACTCTGACATTTATGTTTGTGATTTCCAAAGTTAGGAAATGTTTTCTGGGACTGAACATGTCAACATGCTGTGTGTGAGAGAGGGAGGTGACATAAGGCCACGCTAGGGGTCGGGTTGGGTTGTAATGTCAGTGATATAACTGTAGAAGCAAAAATGTGTTCGTTTTGTGCTCATTTCTGTATATTTGCACATGTTTTCTAATTTAAAAAATACATTTGGAGATCACATTTTTAAAAATCTATTATCAGGCTTACCGAAGCAGATAACCAAAGATGGGTTGGACGCGTCTTTTGCCACCAACCACCTGGGACCATTTCTTCTCACCAACCTGCTGCTGGGTAAGCTGTATTACAGCAGGTATATACACATATACATGAAATGATGGTTACAAAACTGCCTGGCATTATCATGACATTCTCATTTTCTGTCTCCCTATGTCATCTCTTTTCCTTTCATCACTCTACATGTTTCTGTTTTGTCCCAGACCTGATAAAGCGTTCAGCTCCGGCCCGTATTGTGACCGTCAGCTCCACCAACCACAAGAAGGGTGAAGTGAACTTCTCTCACTTTAAAGGCGAAAACCTACGGTATCACTTCGATCAAGTCTACAACCACACTAAGCTGCACAATATCATCTGCACCAACGAGCTGGCGCGCAGGCTACAGGACACGGGTAGGTCAATGTCAACAGCATTCTGATTGTCACACTATTGCTTTGCTACCAGCAATGTAGAAAGTAAAAGAAACGTCTAGTGTCCTGTTTTGAGGAGGAAAAAAAAGTTACTTTTTATTTTGAAAAGTACTCCACCAGTTTAGCATTTTATTTGTTTACAATTGTCAGACTCACAAAGGAAATGGTTAAAAGAAAATGAATTTAAAAAAATCCACACCTCCAGATGAATGGAACTTTCTGACTTGTGGTCTTTGTCTTGACATCAGATTTCACACAACTCCCTTTGGAGCCGCAAGTGCCTTTTAAACGGCTTATTTTTCACATAATATAATAAATAGTATGATTACAAAACTCGTCACTGTGAGCTGTAGGCTAAGGTTGGGGGATTCTCTCTCTGTAAGAAGTGATAGGTGCTGGACTTTATTTATTTCTAGAGCCTTTACTGTGTACTTCTTTACTGCTGTCTGGTAATGCAGGGGGCTGCAAGGTGGCACAGTTGGTAGCACTGTTGCCTCGCAGCAAGAAGGTTGCCGGTTCGTGTCCCGGTGGGGGCACCGGAATCTTTCTGCGTGAAGTTTGCATGTTCTCCCCGTGCAGCGTGGGTTCTCTCCGGGTTCTCTGGCTTCCTCCCACAAAACATGTTGAGGTTAATTGGTGATTCTAAATTGTCAGTAGGTGTGAATGTGAGTGTGCTTGGTTGTCTGTCTCTAAGTGTAGCCCTGTGATAGACTGGTGACCTGTCAGTGTCTCCTGCCTTCACCCTAAGTCGGCTGGGATAGGCTCCAGCCCCCCCAGCGACCCTAGTGAGGATTAGGTGGTGTATAGATAATGGATGGATGGTAATGCAGGCCCAAATGACTGGATCACTTTGGAAGCCAGGTTTACTTACTGTGCACCTAACAATCTAAAACATTTTTGTCCTTAAGACAATTCAGGTTTTTAATTTTATGTTATCTTACTTCTCATCGTTTCTCTGTTCATTGCTTTAGTTTGTCTTAAATTGCTCTATTTAGCCACCACTATAGCTCAACTGGTTGAGCTGGTGACCCATGTACTGGGGCTATAGTCCCCGATGCAGCGGTCGTGGGTTTGAATCCAGCCCATGGCCATTTGCTGCAGGTCCTCCCTCCCATTCTTCTCCCCGCTTTCCTGTCTCACTCTATACTGTCCTGTCAAATAAAGGCCAAAAAATGCTCTATTTATTCTTAATAGTTGTATTTTTATGCTATGAACTTGCCATTTTAATATTTTTACTCCAGATTTTTATCTAAGTTTATTATTGATCCGCCTTCAGCTTCTGTTTAGTTGGTATATAGTTAATATTATAAATGAAGCCTAGACCTGAATGTGTGGAAGAGTTTAAATAAAGGCTGATTGATTGATATGCAGCAGCATTCCTCAAGATTGGACTTTAACAATGCATCATCTGGTCATCATTATTTCACATTGTTCTTGAAATTCTCCTGTGTTACCTCCAGTGTTTACTGATTTACCGGCTCTGTCTGTGAATGATTTTGTTCTTCACTTCCCCAGAACTAGTTGTTCTGTTCATCTCTTGCTCTAAGGTGTGATCAAACACTCAATCACACCTTAGACCATACAATGTGAATTTTCACGATATAAAACATACATTTTTTCAAAGAAAGAAAAATGAACAAACTTTCTACTGTCCTAATCTTACAGTTTGTCTCTATAGAAGACTCAGATGAAGAAAAACAAGCCAAGCATTGCAGCTGAAACTGGTTTTGAGTCACTTTAGAAAATCAAACTAAAAAACAATCGATGAAGTTTTGCATTCTAAGACGTCTTACTGAAACCGGCTATGCTTACAGTTTCTGTGATTTGTTTGTGATGTGGCTTCCTGTCTTTATGTGCACGTAGGTGTCACTGCAAACTCAGTCCACCCCGGTGTGGTCATGACAGAAGTGATGAGACACTATCCGCTGTGGATCCGCTGCATTTTTAATCTAATCGGGTTTTTCTTTTTCAAGGTAAGCGCATCGTTGCATTTCGTTGCTGAGTCACTCATATTGTCATGTCATCAGCTTAGCTTGGTTATTATTATAGTCGTGCCCTCAATACCATCTTTACAGAGGAAGCTGAGAAACTGGTCGGACAGAATCGTTATTGTGAATTTTTGTGAAGTCATCCATCACGCTGATTACATGCATGCCAAGCAGACTCGGTGAGACAAGATTCTTGAGAAACCCAAACCCAAGAGGAAAGACTCTAATCTTAAATCTGCCATTTCCTAAACTTGGGGAAGCGAGCGTGCTCAATGTCGACTACTCATAATTACAGAAGACCCCACTTAGGGATTTATCCTACTTACTAATTTCCAGTAAACAACTGAATTGATTTTGGAACTAAAATGATAAACAGCCTTTAATTTACGGCTGATGAAAAACATAAACCATCATTTGGTCCAAACTTGAATTAAAAGTCCGGTTACGGTCATGTGGGGTTTAGTGTGTGTGTAAATGTGTTACCGTTTATTTTTCTTACAAGACAAGTCGGAATGTACTGATAAAAAAAAAAGAAAAACAGGTTCCAGCTTAGCAGGCAGAGGTCAGAAACCAGCAAGAACAAAACAGGTCCATAGATGGCAGGAAGATGCACTGAGACTATCTGCTCAGGTATGAATGCTGGACCTGTGGTATGCTCTGTATGGTGAGGCAACTAATGAGTGAACTGGGTCCAGGTGAGCAGAACATCAGGAGATCCAACTGGCAGGAAGGCAGATAGGTGGAAGTGGTGTGTTTGAAACCAAAGTAGAGTTCAAAGCAGGGGAATACGCAACCAGGACAAAATGCTTGCTAAGAAATAAACTGTGGCAGTTCTGATGATTAGCTGTGGCTGTCATCACTAAGCTTGGTGTGCAAAACCAGATTGCTTAAACCAGAAAAACAAGATGAAGCATTACCACAATGTTTCACAGCTCATCTGTGGTGAAATCCACAGATGAACTACATTTAGAAATTCAGAGTAATAGCAGGTGTTTATGTTCCCCAGAATACTCCTTGTAATTTGCTTTTGGCTTCGTACGGCCTTGGATATTTTGATGTTTGAGTCATTTTACTGCGATGTGATTGCACAATACTCAGTGAGTTCAGTCAGATGATTCTCAACAGATAGTATATTTATGCATACAAAGCTAATTTCACTCATTTTGCTAATCACTCAGCTATTGGTCCCCTTAAGTTGGGCTGTGGATAAAAAGCACTGTGATTCCTGCCCAATGTGAATAAAGTCTCCTAAAGATGATAAAAGGATTTCATTTGTAAACTGTAAAAGCAGCAGATGGGCAGTGAGTCCGTCTTTTCAAAATGTCATTCTGTTACCTTCTCCACCTATAAAACTGTCGGTCAGCATCTGCAGCAAACACCTGGAACACAAATTTTGACAAAGTGAATTAGAGTTTTTACATTGACTTAGTTTTTATTATTATTATTATTATTTTAACAGGGTAACATTGGCTGCTGATTTTTGATGCTCTCCTGTCTTATTTCAGCAGCGCTACAGAACAGTTCACATTCACTTGTTGCTGTCTGGTTTTAACTTACTTTTACTTGCTGCTGTTTTTTTCTCCCCTAAATAATTTGTTTTACAGATTTGTAAGAACTTGGTGCCCTCAAACATTCATAACATTACTGCATGAGAGATTACTGGTAGTACTAGTACGTATCATTAGACAGCTAGCTAAAGTTACGTTAGCTAACTAGCTAACATGACCTAAAATGGTTAAGATAAAAGTAGCCAGCTAGCTAATGTTATGTTAGCTAATGTGGCATTAGCTATGGTTATGTTAGCTAGTGCATCATTAGCAAGTGTAGCATTATCTAATGTAGCATTAGCTAATGTTATGTTAGCCAACTTGCTAACATGACCTAAAATGGCTAGGATAAAAGTGTGCAATGGGTCAAAACTGCAGCAGATATAGCAGTTATCTGTTAAAATTGTACTCATGGTTAAAGTTAGCTACTGAGCAACTGTCAAATAATTGCTAGCTAATTAGATAATACCATAATAAAAAACAAAAATAAACACGAACCCTCCCACCACCACCTTGATTCCACAATGTGTTTGTTTCTTTGGTTTTTTTTAGAGTGAATTTAGTTTACAATTATGCTATTATCACAGTTTATAAGGAATATTGGTAAAGTATTCATAATAATGTAGAATAATCTCCTGCTCACCATGAGTCGTGTGAACTTCTGACCACAAGATAAGGATTTGGAAGGTTTAACAATTGATGAGCAGGAATGAATAAACCAGCAGCTGGATCAGAGTAACTCATCCAGCTGTAAATAAACCCCTAACAGCTTGTCTGACTCAAACCTGACAGTGTGTTTAGGCGACCCCCAAACAAGCCAGAACCAGTATAATCCGCGCAAATGTGCAGAAACAATCCAGCACTTCTAAGTGTACATTTACGCCTTTAACATTTTCTTACTAAAGAAATGGCCTCAGTCTGGAAACACAGCAGCTACAACAAATTGAGGCAGTGCAAGACAGTTCTACATTTATGAAGCCAAAGGTTACCCTTCTGTGTTGATGTGCATCTGTGATTTGTATCTGTGGATGAAACTGGCTATACTGGACACGCATCAGGGTAAACATTTCACAAACTTCCCAGTTGCACCTGCAGAGAGATTTATCTGTACTTTCTGTTCACTATCTCCGTCTCCCTCTCAGTCTTCAGAAGGCGGTGCAGTCAGCCCCATCTACTGCGCTGTAGCAGAGGAACTGGAGGGAGTCACTGGGAAGTATTTTGACAGCGACTGCTCCCTCGTTCTTCCCGCCCCTTTAGCTCGAGACGCTGCCCTCGCGGTCAAGGATTTTGATGTCTGTGAGAAACTGACATCAAAGCTCTGAAGCAACAACCTGGCAAGGCTTGATAAGAGAAACAAGGTCAAATTCCACATTCTGATTGCGCTTCCAAGCCAGTGCAGATCTGATGTAATGTACCGAGCTGTCTGTAGAATGAGCAGGTGAATTGTAGGGAATCTGCAGAAACATCAGCTGGCATGCATATTCTATCAATCCACAGGTTTCCTATAAATGTTACCCGACTATGACCACTTCATGTATTCCATCCTTTATAAAGAAATAAAATGGAAAAGCTTCTTCTTCTCTTTCCTGCATTGCTTTGACTAACGATCTAAATGTGGTTAACCGCATGAAAAAGAAATTCTTGCAACAGTCGCCAGGTCAGAGTAATTGTCATTCCGGAAATAGTTTTCCTCTTTGATGAAAGTGCTCAACGGCCCATTAACATGTGTGTATACATGAAATATAAAGACAAATGCTGACACCATGTGGCAAACAGGCCGATGTGCTTGCTCAGAAATAACAAGTCCAAGTTACGCAATCACATCATTTTATTGACTAAAATCATTAAAACACAATAAAACATTTGAGCATCCAGTACTTTTTGAAGAGTTTATACAGTGTTCGTCCCCCTGTGCCCTTGGCTTCCTATTTAGCTGCAGAGACAGAGATAGTGAGAGAACATTGTGGTTATTGAAGATGTTTTTATCGCTTGTGAGTATGTGTCTAATAAACATAAAAGAGATCAAGGCTATAATGGGGCTTTTTTTTCAATCGAATACCTTTCTGACGCTGATCCACTATGTCATGGATGATCTCTTCCAGCACTGGAGCCACGTGATCCAGCTGTTTGGGAGTAAGACGGACAGCGATCTCCACAGTTTTATCCTGGATGCAAACACACACACACACACATATATATATGAGATGGTAATATCTTCCTTGGATTAACTGACAGAGTTGTTTAGCAGTTGGCTGGTTGAAAACACACACAAATGGGGTGTGAATGTGTGCTCACTTGATTTCCACCATGCTCCATCTGAGGAACCTGCTGGACGGTGACTTCTTCAAACTGACCGTCCTCCGATCGAGGCTCCATGTCCTTTCTGCCTTCTCGCTCCTGCAGCAACAGACACAAAATGAAAAAATGTAAAGTCATACGATAGAGACATTCTCCAGCCATTGTTTTATTAATGCTTGTCTTATGCCAATCATTATTATTATTACTATATTTAATTCTTTTTATACATTAGGGTTAGGTTGAGTTCCAGTTCACCAGCTCGCTACATTTGAGAGAATTGCAAGTCTAAATTGATCATGAAATCCTCCTCGTGTTCAGTAACTTTTGGTTAATCTGATGATTAATTATGACAAATTCAGAGACGAGTGCTAAACATCAGTTGGGGTGACTGACTGAATGCCACATTGGTGCCTGTGCCATGAGCAGAAAGTGCCTGTTTTGATTCATGGCTGGGGAATCACCATTCACTTACTCTTTCCCATCTCTCTCCACTGCCACTATCAAAAAAAAAAAAAAGGTATAACATGCCCCAAAGAATAGTCTTTACAAGACAAATGTCAGTGAAAATGTCCTGAAGCCCAGGGAGGTGTCATTAGATTGCTTGTTTTGTCTGACAGCCACACCAAAAGCTCAAAGATGTTGAATTTACTGTCAAAAAAAATATAAAAAGAGCTTGTCCTTGTATATAAAAAGCTGAAACCAGGGAATGTTTGGCCTTTCCAACTGAAAAAAAGTATTGATTATCAGATAAATTAATAGTCAAAATATTTGCAGACTATTTTTTCTCACAAATGACTGATCAATTATCTGACAAATCATTTTTATTTGCTATGCACAGCACAAGGAAGTCACATCAGGCAATCAAAGTGATAGTAAATAGACATTAAAAATAAGTATTTAATTACTGCTCAGCCGAGAGCTCAGTTATGATTAATCTGCATAAATGTCATTTTTGTTTTGGGGATTTAATTTTTTTCTCTCCATAAAATGTCCCAAAACCTTTTGGTTTATCCATATATTAAGTTTACTATCATGTAAAAGCAACTAATCTTAATATTTGAGAAGCTGGAACCAATGAAGGTTTACATTTGTGCCAACAATATTGCTGAGACACTTAACCAATCAGTAACATATTGGTGATCGATTTTCCATTGCTTGGTTAATCAACTGATTGGCTACTTCTCTCAGCTCTAATTCAGCCCAGCTGCTTACCTTCATCAGCTTCATCTCCTTTGGGCTGAAGAACGTGATGTGTCCCTCTGTCCTTTCAACCAGCAGCGCCACCAGGCACGCCAGCACCACGCAACCAGCCACTGCACCGCGCATGCTCATCCTGCTCTCTCCTGGACACATGCACAAGCACATGTACACAAACATATTAGCATACAGTCCATACAGAACAGTAGGTTCATGCAGGCATACAGTTCCACGTGAACAGAGGTGAGTGGCCCCGAGGGCAGGCCACTTATGGGAATTACAGAGTGCTTTTATAGCGGTGGGAAAGTTAGGTGACAGTGAAAATGGGTCAACATTTGAAATGAGGTGCAGTGTGTCAGAACCAATACATGACAACAGTAGAGAGAAAGACAAAAGGGATTCCACGCTTATGCAAGGGAGAGGTTGACAAATAAATATAGGGTGATAGGGAAAGAGGGAAGGGTAGAAGTGCAGGGGCTCTGAGGGGCAGAATAACAAACTGCTCCACAGACAAGAGAGATAAGAAGCTGGAGTGAGCCAGCCACACTTAAAAAACAACAAGACAGCTCTGTACACTAATGTGAGTGCATGAAGATGGGCCATCAAAGAGGAGGAAAACAGGAGTAACAGAGGACGAGGGGAAAGAAACCAAATGTTACTCACGTGCTGCGTCAGCCTTATTCAGTTGCTCGGGGAAGCGTGCTTTAAGATGAGCAGAGCTCCACCGGTCTGAGTGTCAGCCTGTCCCAGTCAGCCTTTATATCAAGCCGTCTCCTGATCCCTGAGCTTTTTACTGTCCTCCCTCACATCCGCTCCTCAACAGGCTCCTTCAAGCACTCTGCCCCATGCTCCTGGAAACACAGATGTTCTTTAGGAATCTGGCTTTTTTTTTTTTATTGGGGTAGTAAGCTCTCCCACCATGCTGTATATATGTAGGCCTTTGACACGATTGACAAATTGACACATCGATGACTAACCCCTGCAGTGTCTCTAAATAATGTTTGTGTAAACTATAGGATGCATATGTTCTAGATAAATAAGTTTGCTGTCATGCTGTACTAGGAATCATTTATCAATTTACACAGTCAGAGAAGACAGAGCCGTCATTATTCACCTTCATTTATTTATACTCACATCACCACATGTGACAGGAAAAAAAAATATTTGCCTAAATTAAACCTACAAGTAACTTAAGAAGATGAAACTGAGAAGAAGTGCTCAGTAAGAAGCAAAATTCAGCCTGTTACGACTTTCATTTGGGTTCACAAAGTTTAAATACTGAAAAAGAACACAGCCAGGAGACGATCTGTCCAAAGAGGTCAATCATAAATTCCCTGCTCCGAGTTATTATCTAACACACTGTGACATTTATGACCTGCCAGTTATTTTGGTCTGTGCACACACAGACCCACATACAGTTGTTGCTTGGAAGCTTCATGACTTTGAAGAGCTTTATTGATGCTTTTTTCCGGAATATAACCCTTAAATGTTTTCCTGCTTGGTGGTGAAATGTTTGGATTTACGCTGTTGTCAGAATGCTCTGCATAAGTGGGCGGTTAAATTATTGCCTTTGTTCTATCTGGCAATTCAAGTATTTGAGTACAGCTTTGTGTGCCGTCTGTAGTTGTGTAGCATCAACACAATGACTCACAGACTCTTACATTTTTCCATTGCCTCGCATTTGCAATTTTATAATGTGGTGTTGTGATGTTTTATGCATATACAGGAAACAACAGAAGTATGTACACCTCTGTGCAATATAACCTGTCAAATGATTCAAAATTGGATTACCTCTCAATAACTGCATTATTTCGAAGTTGAAAAGTAGAATATATCCTCTTAGTATGGCCAAAAATAAATACTATACAAAGACTATATTCAAAATACAGACCCCAAAGTAAAACACCTACAGAAGTGAATACATCTGTGTGACATAAGTTGAAAAAGCTGTGATCACTCAAACTAAATTGAGTACACCAGTGATTTCAGGTGAACCAAACTGTATAAACATAGTTATAAACTGACCTGTGAACATCTCAGCTTTAGACCTTTACACTGTGTCGATCTGCATGTTTGCATCATGGCTCTACATAAAAAAAAGAATTGTCAGAATCTGACTGTAAGATTTCACAAAAGACAAAAAATGACTCAGGTAGATCAGTGACCAACTAAAAATCTGTTAAAACACAGTCACAGCAGCAGAAATCAGGAGGTTTAAAATGAGCAATAACGGTCCTTCTCCTAAAATGACGCTACTTGCACTGACTGGCTCTTAAAAACAGACTGGCAGGTGCTTCATACTGGCTCAGTGGTTATTCAAGAAAACCCAAGTGTCTGTGACAGCTCAGACAGTGCAAAACACAAACCTCTATGAATGTTTAAGAAAAAACACCCTCGGTTGATCATCAGCACAAAACTGCCAGATTAAACTCAAACAGCATGAAAAAATGCTTGATGAATACTTGGAGCACTTTCTTTGGTCAGATGAGACCAAAATTTGGCTCAAGTGGGGTCCAACATGTTTGTTGTGAACCTGGTGAGGACTACCACAGTAAATGCATGATCCTGGCAGTGAGGCACAGAGGTGGATTTATGATGACATGGGGCATGCAAGGTGTTGGAGAGGTGACATTCCTAAATGCCACCACAAATGTCTGTGTATTGCCAAAATACTGATGGCTCCGGTCCAGAGTCTACAAAAACTTGGCAGAAGAGGAGTATTCCAGCATGAGGTGAGCCAGAGCACACTGCCACAACTACACGACAGTTTCTGAAGATAGAGGCAATAAGAACTACGATTTGAACAAGTGTGTCTCCTGACTCAAATCTAATAAAACACCTGAAGAGAAAGGTAGAGCAGCACAACAGCTTCAGCAAAGCAAAACCAGTCTCTGAAGAATAGTGGAACATCTCTCCTGAAATTTGTGCAACACAAATATCTTCCATGCCGAGGAGGATTGAGTCAGTCATCAAAAATTAGACACAAAATAAGATATTCTTTAGTTGCTCAGATGCTACGAGTGCATGAAGAGTATTGTGTTCACTCTTGCAGCCAACAGCTGAACATTCGTTGTGCTTTGCCTGTGGCCGAGACTGCAAGGCAGCTGTTCTCTCTGAATGGCTTATCTGTGAAGGAGCAGGCAATGGAATTACAGGGTTATGAAAATGCTTAGCTTGATGAGGTTACTCACTGTCGTTTTAGAAGCTGTATTAAGTTGTCTTCACATTATCACAGCTTTTATTTTTTGAGTTTTTAAGAAGTTCAAAACACAATACAAATAGATTTTCACCATATGGGACCTTTAAAATCTACAGTACAACTTCAGTAAATACAAAAGGGCTTGAGGTTATGCGTCACAATGTATATAAAAAAATATTTCAAGAGGCAGCATCAGTGTTGGTTTGCCTTGGTGATGTTCTCAACACAAATTTAGATTTTTACTTCTGCTCCATGAATGCCCCGCACGTGAAGGCTTCTTGTTTGGGTCTCGCGGTGTTAGACCGATAACGCGGGATTTGAGTCATGTGGCACTTTGGTGAAACGTGCAACCTCCGTCTTTTTCCCGAAGTGAAGCAGCAGAGCAGACACGCACTGCGTGCTGCTGCAGAGATTTTCTAATCATGGTAAGCTTGGGGTGCTGATTGTTTGGGCTTTATTGCAAACTTTTCCTCGCAGGACACAGTTGTAGACTATTGGAGACGGCTGACGTTTTAAATGTAGAAATGGCCAGTTTCAGATGTTTACTGCGGCGGAGTTGAAGGCCTTACAGCATCTGGGGAGTAGTGGTTAGCCGCCTATGTGGCTAACATGAGCCAGAAAAACGCTTCTAATTTAGACTAGTTAAACTGCCAATACTGACCAGATACTACAGCAGATGTGTAAGTCGTAGTCGTACAATTCGCACCCAGTAATGTGTACTTTTAGACGCTGTGTGGGAATTAGCGGCGGTGTTACTGCGCTGTGTTAGCAAGACTGTTAGCATAGGTTAGCTTTAAGGCACGTTCCGTACGGGCCCAGGTCAACACGTGGGAACATCCAGACGACAACGTGGTTACGTGTTGAAGTTTAGATAGTGCGTTACTCTATTAATGTGTGTCAAGACTATCACTCATGTTCGAGAAGACTTCAATAATTACGGCATTTAAAGTTAATAGTGAATGCTTGACCCACCCAGAATAAGGTTGATTCTCAGGCTACCACGTGAGAACTCGTCAACACTTACATTGCACTTACAAACATTTTACGAGCAGTTGTATCGATAGACGTTACCTTTAATCAGTCAGTAGTTGTCTGATTCTCCTCCTCAGTGCTTCACAATTTCTTTCCGTAGGTGGTGTTACACGTGTTGTTCGAGCATGCGGCGGGTTACGCGCTGTTTGCCGTCAAAGAGGTGGAGGAGATCGGCATGCTGCTGCCTCAGGTGGGTCCTCTCTGCTCACCTCTCGGTGTTCGATTAACCTGTCCTTTATATACAGCACCGATAACCGTGCGTTTGCATCTTTGCAGGTTGAGGAGAGCGTGCTGAGCCTGGCAAAGTTCAACAGCATGGTGAGCCTGGCTGCCTTCTTTCCGTTCAAGTCGGCTCAGGCTGCCCTGGAGAACATGAATGCCATCTCTGAAGGCAGGTGTCTTTTATTGTAATTTCTTTAAACATTCTGATTTAAATGTCCTCAGTTGTAATGATGTTCTAATATCTGTCAATCCACTGAGTTACCATGCTGACAGCTTAATGTTTATCCTGAACATCTGAGGACAGCCTTTATGTGACTAATGTACTGACATGACAACAGAAGAAAATCTCTCATTTGATTTAAGCTTTTATGCTGTATAATGCAGCTTGATGGTGCGGATTGCACAAATCAGAGTATTTTCCCTGTCTGTTAAGTCTTTGTGTTTGTTAGCACGCAAGTGACACGTAAATCACAATTTGAACAGACAAAGCATCCTCGTAATTGGAATAGATGAAACGGAATATGACCACCACAATACGAATAAATCGGAAAAATACACTAAAGTACAAAATGCACATGTAACATGTACTTAGATTAGTAAGAAATTGTATGATTCATCTATAGTGTCCATTTTAAGGTTTTTATCCCCCTTCATCCAAGACAGTCCATACATGTTTTATCTGCTTAACAACGAGCCGAAATATGAATTTTGAAGAGCAAAATCAGACCTTTTTGTAAAATCCTCCATTTTTAACCATGCTGCAGCTTTAAATGTGGAACTGCACACTTAAGAATGGCAAACTTTACCATCATAAGAGTCACGTTGCCACATTGATTCTGCTTTTGTAGCAGAACCTAACCTACATTTCCACCAAATACACAAAGATGAGATGGCTAATCTCTCTTCTTTCACTTGCAGGTGTGGTTCACGCTGACCTGAAGTTGTTTTTGGAGACAAACTTGCCGCTTTCTGGAAAGAAGAAGCCTTCCTTAGGGGTTTCCGATGCCAAGATCGGCGCAGCTTTACAAGAAGAGTTTACTATCTCTATCCAGACCGGTGGAGTGGTAGCTGAGATAACCAGAGGTAAGGAGACGATTTACCATGCATTTCTGTTTTTACGTGGAACAAGTTGGGTTAATAGGATTGGAGTATAATGCAAACATTTTTAAAAATCTAAGAATTGTGGCCTGTTGTGATGTGATCTTGTGATCCTGACACTCATGAAGGTTCATACTGAAAATCTGAACTGGCGCTAAACTCATGCTGTTCAGTCGCTGTTCCTCTTAACCCCAACAAACACTCTGAATCTGTCATGTCCTGTCAGGTGTGCGACTGCACTTCCACTCCCTGGTGAAGGGTCTGACTGCCCTGGCAGCCTCCAAGGCACAGCTGGGTCTGGGCCACAGCTACTCCAGAGCTAAAGTCAAGTTCAACGTCAACAGGGCTGACAACATGATCATCCAGTCGATTGCTCTGTTGGATCAGCTGGACAAAGACATCAACACTTTCTCTATGCGTGTGCGGTAAGTTTGTCGTCACACATTACTGGTTGAAGGGAGAGTGTTTTGTAGGATTGCAATACTTCGGAGCTCTTATTGAAATGAAAATACTTTATTTATCCCAGAAGGGAAATTCAATGAGATTATTTTGAGATTGGTTCCACTTTTACATGGCAACATTGCACACCAGTAACGCTAGAATTCATCAGGTGTTCAATCAGCAGCAGATTTTAGTAGCTGAGGAGAAGTCACTTTGGAACAAAGTTTGCTTGCTCTAGGTTTTAAACTGAGACTGTGCTTGCAAATGACTTTGTTCAGTGCTTGTGGTTGCTGTACTCATTGTGAGCTTCCTCCTCATGCTTACCACAGACAGTACACCCTAGAGTGCTGGCTGTATAGAAACAGGAGGTACATCAACCTCTCCTAACACTTCTGCTCTGCCAGATATTGTCTGGTGAGGCAACACTGTTGGGTGAGACATCTTGGCATGTGAATTTAACCACCAAACATGCTGCAAATTGATGTGATTACCACAGTGTGAAATTTGTACTTTCTATGTTATACGGGGCCTTCAAGTGTTTTCTAAAGCGCTCTGTTCTTTGTCTGCAGTGAATGGTACGGCTACCACTTCCCAGAGCTGATCAAAATCGTGTCGGACAACTCCATGTACTGCCGCCTGGCTCAGCTCATTGGCAACAGGAAGGAGCTGTCAGAGGAGAGTCTAGAGAGCCTGGAGGAGGTGGTGATGGACAATGCCAAGGCTCAGTCCATCCTGGAGGCATCACGCTCTTCTATGGGTCAGCACATTACATTCTCATTCAGATTATAGGCTGCGTGCTAGTGCAGTCATGTACATTATCTGGGTAACGATATGTTATGTAAAAGCTATTGTCCCTGCTTAAAAAGCTTCAGCTACTCTATACCGCACTTAAGCACCCTAAAGTAGCAGACCTGTTTTTAACTTAAAGCCCCTTTTTTGCCCACCCTGGACTAATAAATTGTCCTTGGTGTCTAACACAGGGGGGTAGATTAGCTCTCTCATAAACCTGTAGTGAAGGCACAAATCCTCGCTGCGGATCCTGTCGGGAGAAACAACCACACGTTGCATTTAATGTTAAAGGTGGAGGAATTTTGTCAGTGCAGCATCTGTTCACTTCAGATACGTAAGTGGAACAAATTCCTTTGCTCAACACCACGTATTGCATTTTTTCTCCCCTCCAGGTATGGATATTTCTCCCATTGACCTCATCAACATAGAAAGGTTCTCAAATCGTGTCGTGTCCCTGGCTTCCTATCGGCTGGAGCTGCAGGAGTATCTCCGTTCAAAGATGAGCCAAGTGGCTCCAAACCTGGCAGCCTTGATTGGAGAAGTGGTGAGCAAAAATTATATTCTGTTTTTTTTTTTTTTTTCTCCCTCCGTCTCTCCGCACACAGGAGCCAATGATGTTATGCCAAAATCTGTCAATCCACTGAACTTGTGTGATGAAAAATATATCCGGTGCTGATGGTCCTCTGATTGTGTGCCCTGCTCAGTTCATTAAATCTCCATTTAAATTACAGCCATTTGTGTTTGTTGGAGATTAACTTGTTTGTTTCCTACCTTCAGGTTGGAGCTCGTCTGATCTCACATGCTGGCAGTCTAACCAACTTGGCCAAGTATCCAGCGTCCACCGTTCAGATCCTGGGAGCAGAGAAGGCCCTGTTCAGGTACTGGGGCATCCCCTCCCTGCTGGGGAAAGAAGTGGTTGCAGTGATGGCAGGGCGGGGCAGGAGCAGAGCAGGGTGACTGGAGGAGACAAACACTTTAATATCTCCTCTGGAGTGATCCCTCTCACCCAAATGCACCCCCACAGTCTGAGCATCCACTCACAGCACAGAGGTAGAATATTGGAAAAAGACTTGTTTGTTTTTTAACTAATAGCCGTCTCTATTTACCTGCCCTGGAGTAGTTCGATTATCCCCAGATTTCAGATGTGTCATTCCATTTTAAGTTTGGTGTTTTTTAGAGCTGACTTTCATGCTGTTTCTCCAGAAGAGGGAGCTGTTTTGGTACAGGCACATCAGTTAGCACACATCAAACTTTACTACAGCTTTCCAACTGGATGATGTTGCCTGAACATAATTTTTAGCTCATCACATCAGTGACAGTTACCTTGCTGATCAAACTGCATGTGCACCCAGAATATTTGAAGTAGTCTGATACTGGGGAACACATTTGCCATAACCAGATTTCTCAATCTGTGCTGCGTGTAGATTAACATGGCGCTTGTGGCACAAACGCACTGACCTTTTATTAGCAGGGCAGATGCGCTCATCAACAGATTTACTTCCATGCTGGGCACTGGATAACATTTTACACTGACTTTTGATGCTGAATGTGAAAGTAGTTGTATTTCCACACAGAGCCCTGAAGACACGTGGCAACACCCCCAAGTACGGCCTCATCTTCCACTCGACCTTTATTGGACGTGCAGCTGCCAAGAATAAAGGCCGCATCTCCAGATATCTCGCAAACAAGTGCACCATCGCCTCACGTATCGACTGCTTCTCTGGTGAGTGACGGGCCGTTTGCAAAGCACTTCCACAGCGTTGGATTCAATTCACGTGCCTGTGTTGGCTCACAGTTCGTGTGGCATAATTGCAATGATGCTCAAATTTTTCGTCAACAGCATTCATCCTTCAGGTTGATGTTGAGAAGCTCTTTCCTGAGCAAAGCCACATGCCACAGTTAAGCTTACTGTAATCTCCTGTTGGCTTCGTATTGAGCTTGAGTCTGTTTACTTTCTTACAGAGGTACCTACGAGCGTGTTTGGTGACAAGCTGCGTGAACAGGTGGAGGAGCGTCTGTCTTTCTACGAGACTGGCGACATTCCACGGAAAAATGTGGACGTCATGAAAGACGCCGTGAAGGAGGTGAGCGCAATCATGTGTTAGGCTGTGTGGTACACTTAATGCACCACGGGTGAGAGCATATGTTTTTACAAATGCACTGACAATACATTGAGTCTATAAATGCTGTGAATGATGACAAGTCTCTTCCTGAAATCACTGAGGGTACAAACTGATTTAATGAGCCTGATGCAGCATTAGTGATTCTCAAGAAAGACCTGCTTTATTTACCCTGTTTGTAATCACGTTTTGTTTTCCCTCCCTCATCTTAGGCTACTGATGTTGCAGCCGAGATCAAGCGCAAGATGGAGAAGAAAGAAAAGAAACGCAAGAAGCGTGAGAAAAAGTTGCAAGACGCAAATGGAGAAGCCAACGGTGAAGCTGAGGTAAGCTTTCGTTTCAGTTTAATACGAACTTGCATGTTTAGATTTGAGAGCCGACCCGCACACACGGTCCTTTCTCAGTGTACGACATGCTACATTACCTTGACTCCGAACCATTGGCTGGTCCCAATCAGTGGGCTTGATCACTGAAGAGAGTCACACATTCAGACCATTAAAAGGATATTTGGTGTCCAAGTCTCTACACATAAGAATGCAGATCGTTAGTCACTGTTGTCTGACCGTACCCTTTTTTTCTTTTCTGCCTGAAGGTGGAGAACGGAGAAGCAGACACCCCTGTGGTGAAGAAGAAAAAGAAGAAGCAAGCAGCTGAGGAGATGGAGGTCCAGGCAGAGGAGACCCCTGCCGCAGAGAACGGAGCAGAGGAGACTTCAGCAAAGAAGAAGAAGAAACGAAAAGCTGAGGCTGAGGTCCAGGCAGAAGACGCTGCCGCCACAGACAATGGAGCAGAGGAGACTGAAACTCCAGCAAAGAAGAAAAAGAAACGAAAGACTGAGACCGTGGAGGCTGAAGAGACCCCAGAAATACCTGTGTCTGAGAAGAAAAAGAAGAAGAAAAAAGAGGCTGCAGACTAAAGACATAAATCTGCAGACAGAGACTGAATCTTTATTTTTCTGTACAGCTTTATTTTTATTCATTTTACACTTACCTGAGGCTAGTTTGTCAGCAGCTTTATGTTGTCCTGTCTTTCATTTATAAAACCTCAAAGCAGGTTAGATTGCAAAGAGAAAAATAACCGTGCCTTGAACTCAATGTGATTTACTTGTACTTCTGTAAATAAATTGTTTATCAAATAAACTTTTTTTTTGTCAAAAACATGAATCTTTTTTAAAGATGGCCATGGATGACTTGTTTTGGGATTCCAAGTTATCTGCTAGTTGTCGCTGTGAGGCTGGTCACCTCCTTTCACATAATTTAGTGTATCACTGCAATACTCGTGCCTTTACCTCACTTCCCATCTTGTGCATTTGAACACGCCTGCAGAAGATGTCAGAGCTGCAGAAGGTATCAAATACCAACGTGGTTTTTGGAGCTTTCATTTCCTTTTATGGTCTTTGACAGATGGAAGCTGATGTAGGCAGATTTTCTTGATACACGCTTACAGTTCAGATGGACTGATTCTGTCACACCCTGGTGTCAGAGCAGTAACCTGCAGATTTAAATCAAGTTTGGTGGTGAGAAAATATTATACAGAAGATAATGTGACAACATTGGAAAGAGCACATGAGAAAGTATAGCAACAAAGATGCAATCTGCAATATTGCCTTTGCACCAAGCAGGAACTTTTTGTACATTTTTATTTACGATTCAAATTGGATCTCATCACTTTTAGATCTAAAGTCGCCTCAAGATGCACTTGTGTAGGGTGCCAGGAATTCATGACGTCTCTGCTAAAAAGTTGTCAGCACAAGTGTATGTAGTAATATTTATTTTATAATAATTCTCTGCTCGGTTCTAGTGTCTTTCAGGGCAAATAACTAAACCTACTGAGCCAGTTTTACCGAGTTGATATAAAAACTGAATGTGGTTTCATTCTATCATATTACATGTTGGTCACTGCTGTGTGTAATCATGTATTTAAGAACAACAATGTGTCATGTTTCACCGTGTGATGTGCTGACATCCACACTGTCCTTGACATGTTTTGCACAGTGACATTCTTTGGTTGTTTTGAATATTAAATATTTTAACAGTTACATTATCCTGCACTGCCAGGCTTAAAAAAAGCATATGTGCCATTCAGGCTTCATGAGTGCAAAACTAAGTGTGACGGAAAATGTCTGAATTAAAAAACAATGCAAAAAGTAAATACTGATTCCAGATCCATACAAACTGTTCATAACTTTTAATTTGGACAACAAGGATTAAACCAATGTTAAAATGACATCAAATCCAAGGCCTGGCTGGTATAAAACCAACCAACTAGTAAGAGTTGAGGAATGAGAGACAGATGGAAGGAAAACGGGGCAAAAAGAAAAGTCAAGCTATCAACTGAAGTCACCCTCAATATAAGGATTCACAGATGCGGGAGACCAAAGTTACAAAAACGTATTTCTTCTAAAATAAAAAAAGGCCTTTGCCGTGAAAATGATGTGTATAATCTATGTACATCATTCTCAGTTCATGTATGCATACAAAAAAAATCCACATCACAAGATGCTTGTGTTCAAGTATATTCACCAACTTCATCTCCAAAACTTAGCATTCTCATCTTTCCACATTTTTTGAAATAAAATGTCCTTCAAAATAAAAACAAAATGCAGAAAACCACATTTTATGTCCTACCAATACATATATACTGTATAAATACATACATAAATATATTTTACATACAACAGCCATAAATTTGAAAAGGGGATATACAGAGCAAAGGGGAGGGGGTGGTAGTGTGTGTTTTAGCTTGTGTTGTAAAATGGTTTGTCCCTCTATGATTTCATCAGTCAGATACGCTGTTGCGGTGCTGTGTGTTGGTGTCTGTCCACGCACACACGCACACACACTTGGTAGATGTATCCATCTCAGTTGGCCCAATACGGGGAGCTGCCATAGCTCGACTTGTTGACTTGGCTCTTCTGCTGCAGGCTGCTGGACTGGCCACGCTGGCTAGGACCACCCTGAACAGTGAAAGACAAAGAGGTAAACATTTGCAAAACATCGCTCCAAACACAGACCTAACAGTCAGACTAATCAGCCCTCCAAGGTAGGAAAAGGAAGTTATACAGCATGTAAGAACAAAGCCTGCAGATAAGCATCTTTCAGTGCATTACCTGTCCATCCTGAGCTAGATGGTGGTGCAGCAGCTGTGAGTGTGGTTGCTGGTGAGGCAAGATGTGGAGGAATGGGGCAGGTGCATAGCCTCCAGGAGCTGCTCCAGGGTTCAGAGGCCCTGGACCCCCCAGCGCTGATGGCAGGCTGAAGGGAGGGGGGGTTCCCGCATGGAAACCCTGCTTATCAAAAGACTGCAGGCCGAGGAGAAAATATGCATTCGTGTAAATATTAACTGTACAGCAAAGCACCAGTGTATCGTGTGTGTCTGAGGCTCACCTGGGTCTTATTGTAAACACTTCCACTGATGTCTGGCACACCGGAGTTACTGGATGTCACAGAGACACCTGACAGGACAACAGCAACGTTTACAGTTTAGAATTCCTCAACTTGAAAATTCCAAAACAGGACTTTGGAAACAGTGCTTCTTCTTCCTACCTTTCCCAGGCCCAGTCGCAGATTTGGCTTGTGCCTGTGAGGAGGAGTTGTACCCTTTACTGTATTCCACTCCTGCTGGCCCCGCTGTCAGCTCCTCATACCCTGGAAAGTGAAACACCACCCTTAGAGATCAAACAAAAAACACTTTGTCCGCTGCAAGGCCTTTCTTGTGCAAGCCTTCCCTAACTGCGGACGAAATGTATTCTGGAAGTGGACAGGCGTCAGTAACACTTCCTACAAACCTGAGCTGAAGGTGTGCTGGCCGTAACCACTAGGCTGCTGCTGTGTCTGCTGCTGGAAGGGGCTGGCCGAGGGGTTTCCCAGGCCGAGGCCCATGCTGTGCTGCTTGGCCGACGCTGGTCCTGGGCCTCCAGGGGGAACGAACATGGTGGGGCCATACTGGAAGGCAGCAGCACTGGGTACGGTGCCGGGCACTCCAGCGTAGTAAGGCAGGCCTGTGTAGCTGTAGCCTGGCGGCAGAAAGGCCTGCTGACTGCTGTGGTGCTGTGGCTGGCCCTGGGGCTGAGGCTGGGCCTGAGGAGGCTGAGGCTGGGCCTGGTTCTGTCCTTGGCTCTGGGCCTGGGGAGGCTGTGGTGCCGCCAGGCTAGTGGGGGGTGCAGGGGAGGTGGAGTCGTTCCTGCCAAACTTTGTGACTTCACCTGCCGAACAGGAGGCGTCATGTGAGAACGGACACAGGATTGTATGAGTTTAGGCAAGGCCAGCCGAGGAATAAGGTGCTTTACCTGAGTAGGGGTTGTTGGCTAGGCTCCCGTCTCTGCCAGAGAGAGTCGCTGTGGGGCCAGGGAATGTGATTCCGTAGTAATCCTGCAAAGAGGGCTGAAGGAACAGGACAGGATCAGGAGAAGATCGACAATTACCAGATAACCTAAAAACTTGAATGTAGACTACAGTGATTGTAAGTGAAGAGCTGTCCCAAGAGCAGGACAATGTGGCTCACCATTGGCAGTCTGGACTGGAGCATATGAAGGTCCTCGTAGCCATAGATCTGCTGTGAGACAAAGAGTTACATAAATTACAAAACAGATCAAAATACAAGCCTGCACACAGTCACTTTGTGCCACTGGTAGCATTGGTTAGTTGTTCGCACCAGCACATGATTTGGTCACACCTAACCACTCTTTCTTCTGGTACAACATCGTATTAATCAACCTTGCATGACAACAAACAGCTGTCTTAATTTGCAAAACCTAGTTTTGTATTAATGAATGAATAAATAAAGACTGGCAGTGGCTTGATATTTGCAAAATATTTGAATCTGAAAATACATTATTTTTGTCACTTTTCCCAGAGGTTGTCTTCTCACATAAACTGGTCAGGCGAAACTATTCACCTTGCTGAACATCTACTTATCGATAGACCCTACAGTTTACCAACGTTCCCTCAACGCCTCATATGCAGGTTATGGTAAACGCTAGCTTGGCTGCTGCAGTGTGTGACCAAAAATGAGTTGGAGAGGAGTGAAATAAAGTGTTCTAATGTCGGGTTTAGCCAAGCTGAAAGAGTGATTTTACCTGCATGGCACAGTTTCTATGTGCAGAGTTTTCTCTGAGTAGAGAGCATTGCAAAAATGAATCCTACAGTCGATCATGTTCATTTAATAGCTGAAAGTCAAAATCACCCTCATGATTAATATTTGGCAGCTCTACTACTGTGAAAGCCATTGTGACTGAATGTAATCATCAGCTCAGTCAGTATCTCCCTGCAACCTGCACTCATCATCAGGTATATACGTTTTGTACCTCCCCCTCTCCACCAGCCTCCTCCTCTGCCTTTTCATTTTGTTTTGTTTTTAAATAAATCACCTGGCGTTTGCTTCATGTTTGGAACACACAACAGGTAAATGGATTGTGTCATGGAGGGACGGACTGACTGAGCCAATGAGGAAGAAAATATACTTTTCACCACTATGGCCAAGACAGTAGCTGTCTGTGCCGACTGGAGCAGCACCAAAACAGCTTAATCATCGTCACGCACTTTCACAAATGCGACTACCTAAAATTTGAACTTCCATGCTTTCAAAAAATTGTTGCATATGTAACTATTTTGGTCGCAGTCTGTAGCCCTGCTTGAGTTGTTTTACCCGTGAGCATGTTGATCATGAATGATCCAATCACAGGCAATGTCAAAGTCAATGCAGTTTAAACAACAAAACTGCCTTGACTACACAGACCGGTCAATAGATAGGACTGGCAGATATACCATGTCGTGGTCACTGATTAAAATGTACACTTAAGGTCTACTTACTGGGTAAGCAGGCAGCAGCCCTCCAGGGCCCATAATGTACTGGTTGGGCAGTAGAGGAGGCACTCCCTGGGACAGGTTAGGAGGAGCTTTACCTGTCAATACATGAACAAAATAACCGTTAATTTGATATACTTGTATATAACTTCAACTATTTGGTATAGTATTTGGAAGGTATGGCTAAAAAACAAGCTATCACATTCCAGGTGTTGGAGGTGTATGTGTACCAGTGGAGGAGGAAAGCAGGGGTGTGGTCCTTGGTGCAGGGAGGTTGGACGTGGCAGTAGCTCCATTGGAGCCAAGTCCCAGCGCTGTGCTGGTGGCGGCGGTGGCTGCAGAGT